TCCGTGAGAGCAGCGTTACGCTGCGCAACCAAGTCAAGCAGGCCGAAACTGCTCTCGCTGAGAAGTCTACGCGTGTTGAGGACCTTTTGCAGCAGATTGAGCCTTTGGAGACTCGTATCAGGGAGCTTGAAAACATCGTGGAAACAAAGGATGGAGAATTGAAGCTTCTACAGGCTGACCGGGACCGCTGGCAACAACGTACACAGAACATCCTGCAAAAATACGATCGCGTTGACCCGGCCGAGATGGAAGGACTAAAGGAGAAACTCGCCTCATTGGAGAAGGAACGAGACGAGGCTATTTCAGCTCGCGACACGTTACAAGCACAAGCTGCGACTTTCCCAGAGCAGCTCAAACATGCCGAGGATAGGACGCAAGAACTGCGCACAAAGCTCACAGAACAGTTCAAAGCCAGATCTAAGGAACTCACTGGCCGCATCAACGCTAAGCAGCTTGAACTGAATGCCGTGATGCAGGAGAAGGAGGTCATCCAAGAGGAGCTGAACACAACCAAGAACGAACTGAGTGAGCTCAAGATCAAGATGGCTGAAAGTCCATCCGCGCCACCTGCACCTGCACCACCTGCTGCACCCGCTGCACCCACTGTTGAGCAGACGCCTGGCGTCAACTCAACACCTGCGTCTCAGTTCCCAACCCAAACTTCTATGCCGAGTGATGACGAGAGAGTGAAGGCGCTAGAGAAGAAGGTACAGCGTCTCGAGGCGGCTCTTGCTGAGAAGGATGCTGCCTTGGCTGCCAAGCATGCTGAGTACGAGGCCAAAGCCAATGAAAGAGTAGAGAAGCTCAAAGAGACGTACAATAAGAAGATGGCGGAGGTGAGAGCGGCTCATCGGCAAGAAGTTGAAAGATTGTCGGCCAATCAGCAGGTTGCACCGCAAGAGCCAGGAACGCCTATCTCGAAACCTGAACAGACTCCTGCAACCCCTTCACAGCAGGAGGGTGACCTACCAGAGCTCACGGATGTCCAGGCGAGAGCCTTGGTTGCGAAGAACGAAACGATCCAAACGATCGTCCGCAACAATATTCGGGCAAAGGTCGCGAAAGAAACAGAAAAGCTTAAGCAAGAATGTGCAGAGATGGAGAAGAAGTTTAATGAAGAGAAGGAAGCCCTCAAAAAGGCGTATGAGGAGAGTACAGATGAGAAGGTCAAATCTGCTGTTGAGTTATCCGACAAGAAGACCCTCGTCCGTATTAGCATGCTTGATACTCGGTTGAGAACTGCGCAGGCCAAACTTGATGTCATCTCGAAGGCGGCTGCCGAAACTCCTCAAAAGCCCGTCGTTGAGGTATGGGAGGTGGCGAAAACCACGAAGGCTCCACCTGTTCAGGCACAAGGAGCCAAGCCAGCTTCCGCTGCACCATCTGCACCGGCCGCACCGACTGCTGCTCCCGCTCCAGCGCAAGTCGCTACAGTACCACCACCTTCTGCAGTCGCGGCACCTAATGCAACAGCCGAACACCAAGACCAACGAGCTGCCGCTCCCGCTCCCGCTCCCGCTCAGCAAACGACAGCTGCTCCCCCTACCAGCTCTGTGCCCTCTGAAGCTCAGCCTCAAGCCGATGCACAGGCACAGCAGCCGCAACAAGAAGCCGGTCCTGCGCAAAAGCCGGCATCAAATCAACCCGCAAACGCAGTCGCTCAATCTCAGAATAAGCAGCAACCCTCATCACTACCCAATAAGCCTCCTGCTGGGGGTGTTCTGAGGGCGCTTCAATCAGGGCTCCCAGTCGCTAGAGGCGGTCGAGGTGGTGCTCGTGGCGGCTCTCATCAACAGAATCCATTCGGTCCACAGCCTACTGATCAACAGCAACCGCAGCAACAGCAGGCTCAAACCCAGCAAAGTCAGCGCGGCAGTGGTCTCCAACGTGGCCGTGGCGGTCGTGGAGGATCTGGCCGAGGTGGTCATCAGAACGTCCAGGCCGGCAATGTACCTCAAGGGCAAAGTCCGTCCAGTCCTGGAGGAGGTCGCGGTGCACTCAATGTTCAAGCTCGCCAGTTTGTCCCTCAAGGGAGCAAGCGGGCAAGAGAGGACGGTGGTGAGACTGGAAACGAGGCCGGGGCCAGTGGCGGGAAGAGAATGAGAGGAGGTGGCCATACCAGGGGCTCTTGAGCCCTCTATCGACATAGACTTGGGTGTTTGTTGTTTCCTTTTCACGTGCATGTACCTTTACTCGCGGATCTCATTGTGGTTTACAACATTTATGAATATCCCAATGCCTATATTCCGGTTCAGCAAGGCATGAGGCAGTCGAAAATAAGTCATTTCCTTTGTCTATGATGCCTATTTTGGGTCTGTACGGGAAATCAAATATTTGCATCACATCATTCTTCAAGCCTCCTTATTAACTATTGTTTGTATAGTGGGTGTGCAACTCATGTGTATGATCTGGGGTATAAGCAAACATGAAAGGACAGGATCATATCATCGTAACGCACTCTTGGCAGTCATAGCATAGTATGTGCATTAATTTCGCTCAAGTCCAATGTACCGTTTTGATCAGAATCAGAATCAGAACCAGCCGCTTCGTATGTGTCGCCCCCTCGAGCAATTGACACTCGACGCCATGTCCAAGATAAAGGACGAAGTAAGCACGTATCAACGGAGCCGGATATCAGCTCTCGCATGAACAGGATCATTTCCTCCTGCTCCCAGCAGATGCAGACGACCCAATGAGCCGGGCCACTACCTCTCTCTCCTTTTGTAATACAATCAACCGCGCATCTTCAACCACCTTGGCGTCCAGCGCCGACACGTCCTGCCCAGCCGCAACAGACGAGCTCATCTTCCCCGTAGCCCGTTTCCTCCGCTGACCGGACCCAGCCCCCGAGCCCCAAACCACTGTCCAGTCCCTTATCACCGTGTTTGCCGCAATCTCACAGCCCGAACAGACCTTTGAGTGCGCGCCCAGAGACACACGCCGGTTGATGATGGCTAGCGACTCGACCGTAACGAAGGAGTGGATGTGAGCGCCTGGGAAGACGGTCGCAAGCGGACCGATCGTCACTCCGTTCGATATCCGTGTGGGAATCACTTCTTTCGGTGTGGGCGGGAGAGAAGGTGGTGTGCTCGGCGGGATGCCGATTGTGCTCTTTTCGCTGATTATGCAGCCTTCGCCGATAATGACGGGCCCGTCGTAGGAGTAGATGCGTGCGCGCGGGTGAATGACCGTCCCTGGGCCGACGGAGATGGGATGTGTGCCTTGCAATGTTACGGATTCGGCGACTGTAGCTGTGTTGTGGGCGGCGACGGGGGCTCGGGGTGTTGGGGATGGAGATGTTGATGATGAGGGGGAGGCGCGTTGGTGTGGATTTGGGGGTTTGAGGTGCGTGTCGGGCCTCTGTTGGCTAGTTCTGGAATCCATTGTTCATTAGGACCAGCTGGTGCAGACGTGCTGCGTGAATTTTGTAGAGAAGGTTTCTTGCCGTGGTTATTATTGATGTGATGGTTGTTGGTATCGGGAAGCTTTGCGGAGTCTGAGAGATCTCCGTGTCTTCTCCGCCCTGTGTTGCTGTTGTCCATGGGTCTCGTTTCAGCTACCATAGGTAGAAATATTTGGCGATGATCTAAGATTCTATTTTCATAAAGATGGTTCCAATAAAAATCGTTGACCTAGTACTCGATCTTGTCCCCTCTGGGTATCTTGAAGCTAAATTCTAGCGGTGTCATGCAATGCATCCAAATCCAACGCCATTCCCGGCATAAAGCCATATATACAGAATGCTCATACCGTCTTATTGACCTAAGCGTCTTCGTGACCCTGCTTCTGCGCCCTTGGCTTGATTCCATTCCTCTTCCTCCAAGCCCAGACCCCACGATCGACCTCCTCCTTGGTCATACCATCTCTAACCAAGCAGAAGGTGACCCCTAATTCGGTCTCGACGTTTCTGTTGCGTGCCTCATCATCAAAGAACAACATATCCTCGTAGGCAATTCCGCTCGCTTGTTGGATTTTCGCAAAGTGTTGTGTTTTGGTGGCAGGGAAGATTTGGATATAGTCAAAGTAATCCAGAGCCCGGATAGACTTTGTTTTCGCTCCAGGATTGTCCGAAAATGTGGGGATAATATGAAGCGCCTTGAGCATATCGCGAGCTAAATCAGGAGCATGCGTGCGAGAAGCTATCGCAAGGGGAATCGAGCGAGTCTTGCAGGAGTAGACAATCGAAGAGACGGCTGGGTAGAACGCGAATGATTCGTTCCATCTGTGGCGAGGTTTACGAGTCAGTACGAGGATATGGGGAAGGACACCAATGCTTGTTTCAGGTACATACCGGTCAACGCAGCGAGAATTGTTATCGCGAGGCTTGATGGGTGCGCTGACGTGCGTATCAACCCAGAACGGCCACAATGTATAGTCTAGGTCAAAAGCGATTAACTTTGGTAGAGGAAGGCCGTCATTGAAGGTCGCGGGCGCTGTAGATGCGTCTTCCAGCGGTTGAGTGTTTGTTCTCTTGTTTTTCATCATATTGTTGGTATGCGATGCGCAGAATGCAGAACAGGAAAGATCTTTATTGACTTCTGGTCCGAGTAACTCAATCGCTGTCCGACCCGTGGTCCGGATAGATCGAGATACTACGGAGTATGTACCTATCTTCACGTGCCTACGACCGATAGCAGCAGTCCCCTCCATGTCCTTCTACTTGTCCCTGCCTACGATTAATGAAGCTTGAATTACGTCGACTACAGTGATAAAGGAACAGAGTATCGGTTGTTCGGTGAATTCCATCAGCCTCTACATACAAGAACTTAGTTCATCCTGCTTTCCTGAAGCCTGAAAAGTCCAGCTAAACCCGAAAATTATTCATCATTGCAACACGAAACCTGATAACTCCCAAAAGTCGAATTTTTTTTTTGTCTTTTTTCTGTGATTTTCACCTTTTTTTGACAAGTGATATCCAGTTCTCGAAAGAAAGACGTCGCTTTGTACTTAAATCTGAACAATTTTCTTGGTCTTCAAGGGCGACTGATACATCACGCTCCTCAAGTCAAAGAGCTGTAGGTGATGCATTTGACAGTCTCAAGGAACTTCCAAATCTGCTGGTGATCTTCCGCTCCTTTGATGGTCAGCTCATAGCTCACAGCATTCCAATCGGCAGCGTAAGTCATGATGCGGACTTGCTGCTGGTGACTGAGAATACCGTCAGCGCCGACAGCATCCGCGATAATCTGACGCCAGAATGCAAAGGGCAGTCCGAAGCGCCATTCTCGCTTACGAGAGCTGCGAGAGACCGAACTGGGATGGGATTTACCCTTTCCTGAGCGGGCTGGCTGGCTCGGCGGTGTGGATTCCTTTGTCTCTCGAGACTGGACGTCTTTGTCGTGGCCGTTAGTTTGTTGAACTTGCTGAACTTGCTGAACTTGATGCAAAGAGGGAAAGTTGACTTCAAAGTGCTTAGCACCGGGATGAAAGGGTCCGACATCAATAGGTTCGAAGAGTTCATATTCGTCGAAGACGTATTCTGGACTCTGCTCCATGGTTTCTTGCTCTTCGACCCTCTCGTCAGTCTCCTCCACGCTCGAGGGCTCCTCCTCAGAGGGTGCTTCGACGATGCGATCTCTGTCGTTTAAAAGTAAAGCGCGGGAGACAGTCATCATCTTCAACGCGACTCTCCAGATATCGTTGCTGTGTACGCCCTCTTTCTTTAGAGCCTCAATACACACTCTCTTGGCGAGTCTAGCGTGCTCGATGTCAAGCTTCTTCTGCAGCTTGCGTTGTGCCGCATTCTGGTCGTCGTCCTCACTAAGCTCGTCGTTTGCAGTGTCATCGTTAGACTTGTACTCGCGCACCAACTCGGCTTTGTCGAGAAGCTTGCATTCATTCAGACCAAGGCCATCATTCGGGAGCCATATGATGCCCTTGCATTGCTCTGCCGTTTCTGGCAGGATGGGACCTTTTCCACTGGGTAGAAAAGCCAAGAGCTGCTCGGGACTGCGGTGCATGCTCAGCATGCTTGACAGATGCACGGCACAACTGCTGGTCAAGTTGGTGTTGGAAATGATAAGGAACGGGATCGAGCGCAGGCCTCGAGTGCAGGCATATCGCTTCAGCTCTATATAGGTAAGTTTCTTCGTGGCGCAAGTAGCGTGAGAAGAACCTAGAGAGAGCATATCATCAGTGTAAGCTACTTAAGACGACTGAATGCTTGACTTACCATTCTGCTGTGCAACCTTGCTCTTCTTGGGCGATTGCTTCGAAGACGTCTTTTTGATAGTTTCGTTGTCCCCCCCGTTTATCTTGAGATTTTCCAATTCATTTGCGATGGCGTCAGCTTCGTGGTCTCCCTCACCGCTCATCCCAACGACGGCATCGGCATCAGCTTCGAGAAAGTCCAGGTCGCTTTGCATGTAAACACGAGCGAGGACCTCAATGCCCTTCGGTCCAAGTGGATTATTTCCGAGATCGAGCTTCTTCAGCAAGAAACAGTTCTTGAACGAGTCGAGAAAGTCGTACCATATCTCCTGCTCTTCGGGGGTGCAAACCACAAGGTTGTTATGGGAGATGTCCAATTCTCGAAGATCGGCAATACTAAGCTTGATAACTTCAGATAGCTTCCGGAGCGCTTCGACCGTGAGCTGGTTGCCCTGCAAATGCAGCTCGGTCACCTTAGCAGAGCCTTCGGGGTGCTCCTCGTCGCGGTACTTCATGCAAGCGATCAGGTCATCAATGAATTCAGCAAAGCCCTCGTCGGTGAGTTCCTTGCCCGAGACATCGAGTTCCACATTCGGATCTCTTGCCGCAGCTTTCGCGCCAACGCCGGGAGTGATTCTCTTTTTCTGCGAGGCGTCAAGCGTCAGTCATGTGCCTCTGGATATCGATGTTATTGGAAGGAACTTACCAAATCCTTGGACACAACCTGTCCGGCCTTAAGGCCTGTGATTTTTCTCTGAGGGTGCCGCGTTAGTCTGCATCCACAACGAAGATCATGTTGAAAAGGGACAACTTACAGCTGAGTAGTTCAACTTACCCATCTTGGGCAGCCGTCAGATCGACGTTTATCCTGTTCAAAAGCAAGCATCAGTCCTTGTTCTCGAGTCGAGGAAGTGTTGAAGGTCGACACTTAGGCGCCGGATTGAGTCTCTGTGAGTGACTCGCAGAAGCCCAAGACGCGGTTGATATGCATGAAGAGAAGTATAGAAGGACTGCACTTACCTTGATGGTCAGGGAGTATTAAGATGGTCGTCAAGTGCAGCGCTGACACGCCCAGGAAATCTCGCGAGAAAGAGGTCTAGGAGGTAAGAGGCAGCAGTTAACTCGCGAGATCAGAGGCTGCGATGTGAATAACACACCATAAGATGATAACAGAACACTTCTTGGAAAGGGGAAGGCTTGTATACCTAACTTGTCTTCTTTGATGGATTCAGAGAAGGTGGTTGTGTGAGATGACAGACAAAGGAGAATGTGTGAGAGAAAAGACATAGGTAGGTTGTTTTCTCTCTGAATGTTTACATCTCAAGTCATCTAGTGGGATGCCCTGCCTCCAGGACGCGCTAGGCGTTGAAATTCACGGAGGTTGCCATGTCCTCTAGCGACCTCATTCACTATTGTGCTTCCTCCTACTATCTGTTGCTTTCGCTGGGTTTCTCTACAAGGATAGTAGACAGTGAAAGGCATAAAGCAGGTAGTAGCAGACAAGGACGAAAACCCCTTTGGCTCCTTTGTTAGAATATTTAATAAAGACATGATGGATTTGCTGCAGTCTCATATATGGTATACAGATATGCGAGTCCATCCTCGTAGCTTGCCCTTGAACTTGAACTTCGACGAAACAACACCACAAGTCAAATCTCACCAGTCTCATATTCCATATATCTTTCCTTCCATGCTTGTACGGCATTTGCCTGCTCCTTCGTATTACCTTTTAGAAAAAATTGACAATGTCTTTGAATTCATGCAGCAAAGCAGGGTCGATGTCATCCCAGTCCTCTGGCACCTCTGGTAGTTTCGCGGATCCCTGAACGCTGCCGTTTGTCTCTTTCACTATAGCAGTTTCTACTTGACTGCGAGGAATCCGACAAGGCCCGTCGTGCTTCGTTCTTTTCTCCGTTCTTTCGTCAGAGAGGTCTCCTTCACACTGCCATGAGAGGTTCCTCTTTTGTCCGCAGCACTCATCTGAGACTCGAGATGGGTCGAGCACATTGTCGACGTCGGTCTCAGAAGCCCTTGGAATATCGTTCTCCTTGGAGACTGCAGTTCGTTCAAAAGTGGAAATAGCGGGCGGTACTAAGGTCTGATCTTGCTTTCCCGTGGCTGATGTGGCAGTGTGTGTTTTGACATGTTCTAGCGAGTCAGTGGATGAAGGTTGAACTGTATACGTGAATAAATCGTCGACGTCGGTCCAGGTATCGTCTACCTCGGCTATATCATCGCATTTACTAGCAAAGGTTTCGGTCTTCCCGTTTACTTGAGTCGCAGTGTCTGTACTACAACCCATCAGCAGCTTTGAGGGCGAGGGCAAGTCGTCAAAGCTATCATCACCATAGTCACTTGAAGAGCATTGAGGCTTGGAGGCATGGCTGGCGGAGTTGAGGTTGAAAATGTCCCCGATATCAGTGATATCTGAGTCGATACCCGTGGATTCCACGTCTTTTGTGTGTGTCTTGCCACTGCTCTTATCCCGAGCCTCAATCGTCGATGTCCTTCCAGCCTTTGTTCTAGGAATGCTGGCTGAGAGTGTCAGCTGGTTAAGTCCACTCTTCGGCTGATTGCCGTTAGCAAACTGCCTCCGAGCGGCTTTGTGTGGCTTCTCGAGGCCTTCTCGGCAGCAGAGATGCTTGCATCTATCCATGGTTCAGCTCCGTTTCGGATGGATAGCAATCGGTTGGTACCTACGTTGTCTTGTCCTTGCACCTGTGGTTACACGCATATCTGCCATTGTCTAGTCGAGACGGCTCTTTCTCATTTTCAGTAGTTGGATTCACAGAGTTGCGTTCTTTCGAGCCTTTCTCCTCGATTCGACTGCGAGATGTGCCAGTCGACTGGTTGACGGCAGCCCAGCTGCTTGCCTCGTCTGCCAATAATTTTTAGTACGGTTTGACGGCAAGCTGGATGGTGGCATACCTGTTTCCAGCAAGTCCTCAAAAAGCCAATCATCGGTGTCGATACTGTCGTCCGCTCCTCCATTATTTGCGTTGGTCGGAGTGTCGTCGGTATCGCGGCTTGGGACGTTCATCCTAGGCCGCTGCATCGACTCCAAGGCTTGACTTTCCCTTGGTCGAGATGGAAAAAGGGCGTTTGGTAGCTCAGGTTTCAGCTCCGCAGACCTCAAAGTACCGGCTATTGAGATTGAGTAAAACTGGAAAAGACACGGGTCAGGGCTAGAAGTTTGACTTACCGATCTCGTCACACATCGCATAGCACGTTATATGTAACTCTGGACTCTTCAGCTCTGTATCTAGAGGAATCTCCTGACTCTGCTGAAGCTTATTTGCACTATAACGTCGTCAGCTCGACAGAGTGATCGTGATGGCTGACTAGTCATACCTGATACGCCGAAAATCTATCAGATGGCCGTTGGACGTCTCTGCTAAGAAGCAGACATACACGGGTCGCCGTTGGAAGAAAGTCGGAGTTTTCTCGTTCATGAAAGCAATCTCAGCCTTGAATCGTATCTTTACAGGCTTTCCGGGTTTAATTTCCTAATAAGCCATCAGAGAGACCGTCTTGCCGAGAGATCAGAGAAACGTACCTTTCCTACCAACTTGACGTTCACTCTAAGCTTAGGAAAGTCGGCAACACGAGCAAGTAGTTTCATTCCGAACGGCGGATTCCTACTCATGATCATATCAATGCGATGGGGCTCTGTAGCTTCCAGAGCATCGATACTGGTAATCCCAGCGGCTGCAAGCTTTCTCACTGCCACGATACCGACTTGGTCGATTTGTTTCATCTGCAGAGGACAGTTATCCCAAACCTTGGCCCCAAAGCTTCTTGCGAGCTCGAGGGCATTCCTGGCAGTGATTGAGTCTTCAAGGCAGATTTGGCAATCTATCACGCATCGAATGAGTCTATTGATATGAGAGAACACGAAATTCTTGTCCTGTTGAAAAGCAAACTTGTGTTTCTGATATTGTTCACCGTCCGGGTACTCAACCCCGCCGAGCTCTGACTGGATGAGCAACAGGATCTTATGAGCTGGAAGCGCTATATCAACTTTTACCGGGAACCTTATGCCATTGGCACGGTTCAGTTCTTTATACAGCGACTTCTCGCCTGCCTTGAGCCGTATCTCGCGAAATTCTTCTGCTTCAGCAATTGCAGAAAGCTGAATTAAGCCATTAGAGTTTTTCCTATCTTCGAACAGAGGACGGGCTGGCCTACCACTTGAGATACAGTTGCGTGAGGTTTCAGCGCGAGTAAAGTCTTCATGGTATCGAACCGTACATAGTACCGAGCCATGGCATCTCCGAAGGGTGTGGACTTGAGACGTTCAGAAGCCACTAGTCCAGTCTCCTGCAGAAGTTTGATATCTTTCTCGCAAATCTGCCTAAGCATTTCGTCTTCATCATCCTTTGTGGCCCCTTCTTTTAATTGGTAATGCTTTGGGTTTCTCCTCAGCCTGACAAACAGGAAAGTACCCGCAAGCCATCTGACTGCGGAATCGACATCAGTGACAGTACCTAACCCAATCTCAGCGTTCAAGTGATCGATCAGGTTGAGATGCAAACAACTCTCTAGGGTCTCAGACCCAGATACGAGTTTCTCATAATGTTGGACTCGTTCTTTCCTCGTCATGATCACTGCAATAGCGCTATCGTCGAATTGAGGTCGACCAGCTCGACCAAGCATCTGCATCATCTCGAGATCGGAGTATTCCTTGCAGCCACCACCCTGCCAACCTACTGTACCTTTGATAATAACAAGGTGGCATGGGAGATTGACCCCCACTGCCAGGGTTGAGGTACAGCAAATGACGGCGATATGTCCCTGCAGGTACCCAGACTCAACGGTATGGCGATCAGCAGGGTCGAGACCGGCGTGATGAAATGCAACTCCTGCCATAAGCGTGGCTGCACCGTCCAGTTAGCTCCGTAGCCATGAATTAGAGATGAGTGCATACTTCTGAGGTCTGCATTGTGGGCTTCGAGATGCTTGCCAGATACTTTCCATAACCTTGCCGGTGGGTTGGTCATGGACCATAGGCGAGCAAGCTCTTTTGCGGTAGCGACGCACGAATTCCTGGTACAACAGAAAATCATGATTGGCTTTCTACACGAATGCGTACCTAGAATATCGGGGAGCCTATAGAACTCAGTAAACATCCGTGTCATAATTCAAAGTATGCAAGCTTACTTCGAACTGCATAACTTGTCGAAGGCAAAATCATTGCTGTGTGACTGATAACCGTACACAAACTTCTGGAGCTTGACAGGACGAAAATCCTCCCCAAAGTGTTCTCGGTGCGCCGGTACATGTTGGTTCGTTGCGTCTTTCCCGAGCCAGCTCGCAATATCCTCCGAGTTTGGGACGGTAGCACTCAGAGCGACGAAGCGGACATTCGACCCGAATGTCTTCATTCTCGACACAACCGCTTCTAGCGTCGCACCACGAGCCTCCTTGAGAATGTGAACTTCGTCAATCAGGAAGAGCTTGACCAATTGCATCAAGCGCGCATGATCTTTCCACTTCCGAGTCATGCTGTCCCACTTCTCGGGTGTAGTAACGATGATCTGACTGTTCTGAACACTCCTGAGCTGCGTATGATCAGTGTCGCCAGTTAGCTCCGCACACTGGAGTCCCAAGGACATGAACTTCCTGTTCCAGTCCCGGAATCGCTCGGAGCACAGGGATTTGGTCGGTGCCTGATAGACGACCTTGAAGCGCTCGTCTTTCAAAGTGCTGAGCAGGCGACAGATTGCCAATTCCATGATGACTGTTTTGCCACTTCCAGTAGGAGCTGCCAGCACAATATTGTCATCGGTCTTGTACACACGCTGGAAACATTTCGACTGTACAGCATTGAATACCGGGA